TGCAGCCTAGACCTGCTGAGCATAAGGTAAACAGAGGACAGTGATTAGACTGTGGGCTTGCTGGGGAGAGGGCTGAGAAGCTTGGCTAGGGGACCCCTGGACAAAATGGGAGTAGTGGTCATCACTGCTCCCCAACCCCCGCCCGCAGATCTGAGGAGCATGGGGGAGGGGAGAGGTTGTGTGTGTGTGTGTGTGTGTGTGAGAGAGAGAGCGAGAGAGAGAGAGAGAGAGAGAGAGAGAGAGAGAGAGAGAGAGAGAGAGAGAGAGAGAGAGAGAGAGAGAGAGAGTATTTTTTTCCTGGAAAGTTTATAAATAGTTCCAGCCCACTGTTCTGGTTTGAAATCTGCCCTGTCCCGCCCTGCCCAGCTCTGCCAGCTCCTGGCAGGGTAGGGGGTCTAACGGGGCCAGGTCTCTCTTTCTGCCAGGGCTGAAGTCTCCATCCTCTCCCCAAGTTGAGCTTAGTTTTTGGGTGTTATTTGCATATGATTCATTGTTTAGAATGCTTAGGAAACCCCCTGTCTCCCCTTCTTTCGAGCTCCCTAGTCTCTGTCCCCCTCTCTCAGCACTCTGTACCCCAGGATTGCTTGACTTCTCTTTCTTGGGAGCCATTGTTGCTGAGAAGCCTGGGGAGCAGAGCCAGGAGAGAAAAAGAGGAGCTGAGTCCAATTGGGTTTGGGGGACCCCTAATTTCTTTCCCCCGAGAGTAGGGGAGGAAATGGTCAATTTCTCTTCCCCTTCTCCCCCCACCCCAATCCAAAGGTTTCCCCTTTTTGGTTTGCAAAATGAAAGAAGGGAATTTGGGAAAGGGTTGTGGTTGGGCCTCCACCCACACCCCGAATATCCCTCTCCCCACAGTCCTGTCCTCAGTCTGGGAGGAAGCAGGCACTGGAAAATGGGTAATTCTCCCTCCTACCATCTGTCAACAGTTGCTGGCTGTGCTGGGGAGAGCAGACTGCCACCCGGAGAAGCCGGAGAAGCCGAGGTGCCGCCAGGGTGTGGGGCCGGGTGGGGCCGGCTGCCCGTACCTCCTGTGTGCCAGGCGTCGCGCTAGGTGCTTTCCAGGACTTTTATCTCTGAAATCACACAGCCAGTTGTTGAAGCAGGCAGTTCATAGGCAAGTGCACAGATGCTTAGAGAGGTTCAGTGACTTGCCCAAGGTCACCCAGAGTGGCAGAGCTGAGATTTGACCCTTCAAACCTCTAGTTCTTTCACTCGTCTTCATGGCTCTGCCAGCTCTTGCGTTTTTCTGTAGGTGTGTGGCTCTGGGGGATATAGCCTTTGGGCAGCAGGCCTGAGAAAGGATGCTGGCACCTTTTCCCAGTGAGGGAGGCCCCCTCAGACCAGCTTGGGCTGGTGGCAGCCCCCACTTCTGCTGTGCTCGGGTGAGGCTTGGTAGATTGGAGGTGCAGGCCTGTGGTTTTCTCTTTCTCCAGGGAGGATGCTGGTGGCAGTGGTGAGCCGAGGGTGGAGGTTGGATGTGGGTAGTTTGTTTTCCCTTTCCTTAGTGCAGGTTTCGATTCTCTGCAGGCACCCAGGTGTCTCCCTGAGGGTCGAGGCTCCAGAGAAACCTTCTGCAGCAGGGCCTGTGTCTGGCTGTGGCTCTCAGCCCCACCCCCAGCATCCCTGCCCTTGCCCATCCCTGTTCTCTGGCCAGTCTGGCCCTTGGCCCATTTCTGTGATCTTTACCCCCTCCTAGGGTTCAAGGCCCTCCCCTGGGAGCTGAGTAACTTTGTACTGAAGTTTTCAGGCTGAGCTGGGTTAGGCCTACTGAGACTGATGGGGGTGGGGAGGCCTTCCAGCCTCTCCCTGAAGTGTGTATCTGATCTTTTAGGGGGGTTTTTGAAGTTGGGTCCAATTTCAAACTCCTCAGGGCAGAACTGAGGCATTAAGGGGACTGCAGTTCTCTCTCCTTTGGGTGCAGGGATGGGCTCCAGAAGTTCCAGGCTGGGCTGACTGATTCCTCTCCCACCCCCCAAAAGTAGGGTCAGGATGCCTGGGGTCTGGAGTAAATGAGAATCTGGGCCTCAGCCCCCTGGACCAGGAGCTGTGGATGGAATCCCCTGGTGAGCCCTGGTGTAGAGGGACTGGGCCCCAGGGAGGCAGACACAGAGGCCAGCCTGGCTGTGTGAGAGCCAGAGAATGTGCAGTTAGGAAAACTGTGGGGCGGTGGTTGTGTGTCTGCAGGAGCAGTGTCTGCGGCTGGGCACGCAACCTTGAACCACGCTCATTGTGTGGTGGAGCCAGGTGTGGAGAGATGGTATCTCCACGTTCCCTCTCCTCACGTGCGTGCCTGCACACACAGGCTGGGCTGCGCAAGCACACTCTTGCTCATGCGGCCACTTTCTGTAGACCCTCATGCATGAGCTTCTGCCAATGTGTGTGCGTGTGTCTCCCTGCGGTGTTGGTGAGGCTCAGCCAACCCCTCCTTCCTTTGCCTGCCCCCCTCAAGTTCCCCTTGTGTAGGGCCCCAAAGGGGTGTGGGGCCCCCCTGGGCAGCAGCTGGCCTAAAGGGTGGGGCCCCTGTTCCTCTGACGTCAGCCCTCTCAGCCTGGGAGGGAATTGCAGGGGCCTGGGGAGGGAAGGGGACACCTCCTTCAGGAGTAAGGAGAGAGGCCCTGTAACTCTGCTTGTCGTAATTAGTAACAGTAAAGGCCATGATCATTAATAAGGTCCAGATTTCACTCCTTGGGGAGCTGCCCCCTCCCTAGTAAGTACCTGTACCCCTCCTCCCATCAGTCAGGCACCCGCTGGCCTGCTGGGCACAGCAGTGCTGGCTCTGTCCAGTGGCCTTGGCAGGAACTCCCCTATGTCAGGCATGGTCCTTGACCAATTGCTGGCCAGTCCGTGTCCCCTGGACTCCAGGTCTGAGCCCAGAGCCTGGGGCCTGGTATGGCCTGAACTTGGGGGGAAGGGATTCGAAGGGGAGGCAGGTCTTATTTGGGGTCTCTGTGGCTCTCTCTTTTTTTTTTTCTTCTTCTCTTGTTCTTAGCAGCTTTATTGACATGTAATCCATATACCATCAAATCTATCATTAAAGTGTAAATGTGATGGTTTTAGTATAGTCACAGAGCTGTGTAGCCATTGCCACAATCAAGTTTAGAAAATTTTTATCACTCCAAAAAGAGCCCCGATATCCATCAGCAGTCATTTCACATCTCCCTCACAGCCACTCCCAGCCCCTGGTAATGCCACTATCGACTTTCCATCTTTCTAGGTTTGCCTGCTCTGGACATTTCATCTAAATTGAATGTGGTCTTTTAGAACTAGCATAAATGCTTTCAAGGTTTATCCATGTTGTGGTGATTATAAATACCCCACTACTTTTTACGACTGAATAATATTCCATTGCATGAGTACACAATCTTTTATTTATTCATTTATCCATTGGTGGACATTATGAATAATCCTGCTACGCACTTGCACATACAAGTGTTTGTGTGAACATATGGTTTCATATCTCCTGGGTAGATACCTCGGAATAGAATTGCTGGGTCATTAGATAATTCTGTGCTTAACCTTTTGAGGAACTGGTCTTCTGTTTTCTAAGGCAGCTGTACTATTTTATATTCCCACCAGCAACCTGTGGGGCTCCCAACTTCTCTTCATCCTCACCAACACTTACCAGTCTGTTTTTTTTTTAAAGATTTATTTATGCATATAAGAACTGGGGTACAGGACAGAGGCATGGTGGGTGGGGGTGAGAGAATTCACCAGAGACAGAGTGGGGGAACAGAACAGGTGGATTGACCAAAATACACTGCTGAGGGGAGCAGCGGGTGAGTCAGGAGAGGTCTGCTGCGCCATGTGGGTCACCTTCCTGGCCGGGAATCGAAGTCATTCTGCAGAGGCTGCCAAAAGCTTCATGGTGCTGTGTCTTAACCCCTTGTGCCACCAGAGAGGCCCCTTACCAGTCTGTTTGATGGTAGCCATCCTGGTGGGTGTGAAGTGATGTCTCATTGTGGCTTTGATTGGCTCTTTCTGCCCATGTTTTATTTTTCATCTATACGTGTTGCTATAGAAATACATGCATATGTATTTATGTGTATCCTCTTATAACCTAAATGGGTTGAAAGTGTCCTCGTGTTTCTCCATCACGCTCTCGCTTCTCGTTGCTGCCTGTCTCACTGTACCTCGGAATCTGGGTTCATCTCTGTCTGTCTCTACCCAGTGCTGTTATCTGCATGCACCCTTTGGTCCCAGCTGCTCAAACAGGGTGTGGCTCTGTGTACACACAGGTGGGGGGCATCTGGCCTTTCATCTGTGCCCACCTCCCACCCAATTCTAGGGATGCTGCTTCTGCAGACAGTGTGGGGGAACGCTGAATCACTCCTCATCACCCCTTCATTGTCTGGGCAGGGGGCTTCCATCTGGGCAGGCCCTGTCCTCCTGACACACTGTCAGCCCCGGGCCCATCATACTGATGAGCACTGGAGGTGATACCCAGGATGGTTTCCATTTCCCTATTTGTGTGCATGTAAATGGGCCTCCTCCCTGGCCTGTGGAACAAACCCATCTGGGGCGCTGGGGCTTGGATTTGGGGGGGAAGTGGTGTAAGAGAGGCCCCCTGGTTTAGGAGTCATTTTTCTGAGAAGTGCCAATGCTTTAGGGAAGCGGCTTTTCCTCCCCCACCCGCCTCCCTTGAAACACATATTTTTTTCTGCATCTTGACCTCAGGTAACCCACAGTGGGGGAAAACGGGCCAGCTGCCTGCCTCAGCAGTACGGATCCTATGGGGTGGCACCTGGGCCCCTTTCCTCTTAGGATCGTAGCTCTGGGCTTTGTCCCTGTCTCCCCAGCCTGGCTGTGCTCTTCTGCCACCCCCAGCAGTGTCTAGGCCCTGCTCCCAGGCTGTGTCTGCCAGCCAGGCACAGTGCCAGCTGTCTGCTCAACCGGGTGCCACAAGAGAATCTCCGGCCGCCCAGGTTGGGGAGCTCCACGGGGAATGCCCGTGCGCCGCCTGCTCCTCAGTGCCCACTCACCTGTCTTTCCTGTTTCTGCAGCATCACGGGACATGGCCCCCCCAGCTGCCTAGCCGGAACCCACCTGCGAGAGGCATCCTTTTCGGCGTCCTGAAGGCCAGCTCTGGACCTTCCCAGGAAAAGTGCCAGCTCACACAACTGCTTGACCAAACACCGGCTCTCAGGACGTCCCCATACCACCTGGCCCCCCAGCTAGCGTGGGGCCTCTGGAGACTGAGATTAGCTATTGGCCTTGGAGAGCCGCTCCAGAACAGAAGGGGGGGTGGGGCTAACCACCCAAACCCCCTCTGGGCCCAGGCCCCATGCCCCGAGGAGGGGTGGCCTGAAGCCCGCCAGAGTCCCGCACGAGATTGCCTGCCTGCCCTTCTGACTGTGACTGCTTGGCATGGCCAGCAACAGCAGCTCCTGCCCGACACCTGGGGGAGGGCACCTCAGTGGGTACCCGGTGCCCCCCTACGCCTTCTTCTTCCCCCCTATGCTGGGTGGACTGTCTCCGCCGGGCACCCTGACCTCTCTCCAGCACCAGCTTCCAGTTAGCGGCTATAGTACACCATCCCCAGCCAGTAAGTGGGGTTTGGGGGAGGTTGGTGGGGAGGAGCTGTGGTGGGCAGCAGGCCTCAAGGCTTGGCCTCTGGGTCCGTCTGTTCTGCTGTGGCAATGAGGTCTCTCCAGACAAGGGGCCCCCCTCATGTGGGGGCCTCATGGATGAAAGACCACAGCTTATAGGCTGATCATGGTGGCTGTTGGATGTTGGGGGTGGTGGAGGGAGAGATGAATGCACTGTTACGTGGCTCCCCTCTCTTGTGCTTCAACATGAGGACCTTATAAATAGCTCCAAGGACTGGACACAGAGGCCGGAGGTCAGTAAACAAACCTCTTGACATTTGGTGGAAATGGCAGCTCAACTGAGAGTGGCACCCCACCTGCGCCCCACCCCATTCAGGGAACAGGCTCGAAGGAGTAGACACAGGCTGGCCTGCTGGAATCCTCTTCTTCCCGCCAGTGTCAGGATGTGCTTTCCTCTGTGGGGAGGATGAGAGGGAAGGACCCACAGCAGCGTGGTGGATAAGGCGAAAGTCCCGCGAAGGAGCGCTCTGTCTGGACTCTGCTATGGATGCACGCATGCTCTTGGCAGGGCCTGTGTTTTCTCTCTGCCTCCGCCCTCTGCCACAGGGGTCTCCTGTTGGCTGGGCGGGGGTCTCAGTACCCTTCCCTGGCTGGCTGAGCCAGGTAGTGGGAGGTGGCGGTGGCTATGGCCAGCTGGCAGAGTCCAGGCCTTAGGCCTGCCAGGCCGCTTACAGTAACTCTGGCCCCCAGGGCCCAGCTGGGCTGCAGGCCAGGGCTGGGGGGAGGAGGGAGCCGGGGCCTGGCCTGGGGCGGGAGGGAGAGGGTGGAAGCAGTAGAACAGGCCCTGGACAGCCGGCTGGCCGGTCAGCTGTTGACCTGGGAAACGGGTCCCACCTCTCCTGGCGGGCAGAGACTGAACACCCTGCCTTGGGCACCCACCGCCCCCCCCCATAGCCACTGGCAAGCTGCCTGGCACCACTGCCCTGTGTGCCCGGCTGGGCTGGGTCAGTGCCCCCTTCTCGGTGTGGGGGCAGCACACTCCCCGGAGCCAGGGAGTCTCTTTGTCCCTGGGGCAGGCCCTGGCTGGGCGCCTCACTGCCCGCACTGGCTGTCTGCCCACCGCCACCACTGCTTCCTGGATCGCCTCCTCTGGCTCCGCCGTAGCCCCCCCTCCCAGGCCCCACCAGCGCTGCGAGCAGGGGTTCTAAGTCAGGGTTCCTTCAGCCTGCCCTTGTGCACTGGGAATGGGGGACAGGCAGATCCCACTTCAGTTTCCACTGTTACCCCACTTCGCAGCTCCCTCTTTTGTTTCCTCCTCCCTCTGTCCTCACCTAGGAGTAAGATGGGCAGCATAGTGACCCGGGACTCTGGGGTCCCTGACTCTGCCTGGCCTTCTGGTGTGCTGGGTGATGGGGAAGGCCAGCCTCTGGGGTTCAGGGTGGCTGGGGAATGGAGCTACACGTCTGTGGTGCTTAGTGCCTGCCTGGGATGGCGGCCGCCTCTGCAGGGGCTGGGGCTCATATTTTGGGTTCCAGTAACTGGAGCGGCTGCTTCCTGCAGGCCTAGGGTTTTTAGGGAGGGAGAAGTCAGGGCTGGCAAGCTGGTCCCTGTGGACAGCTGTCCTTCCCCAGGTGAGGGGAGCAGAGCCGCAGATACCATGCTTATGGGGGTTGGAGGAGGGCTGAGACCTGGCCCATTCTGGCCCACCCTGTGCCAGGGCAGCCAATACTTTGTGCTCTTCTGACTGTTGCAAGCTTCTTCCTCTTTCTGAGAGGTGGGTGGGGAGGACTTCCGGGTCCCTCACTTCCCACCCTGGTAACCTTTTCCCCTCAGGGTGGGGTGCCCACATTTCAGGCAAGTGGAGTCTTCTCTGGTGTTCCCCGCCCAGGTTGGGCAATGCCCCCTTCCTGCCCACTCCCTGTGTGAGCCTGTGGGTTTCCCTGCCCTTCCCCCATCTGGTAAACAACAGGCTTTTCTCACCCAGACCCCCAGCTTCTGAGCTACCTCCCAGCTTTCCTTTTCGCGGACCAGTGGTGTGGCCACGGGCCTGAGGGAACCAAGCATTGCCCTCCTGCTTGTGCTGGGCTGGGGGTCCAGGTGACCCAAAGGCCCCCACTCTGGGTGGTCAGGCACAACAGATCGCCCTTCACACACGCCAGGGCGGAGGCAGCTCGCCTGCCCTGCTGACCTGGCCTTGAGGCTGGTGCTGGGGGTCAGGCGTCCTGGGAGGGGGGACAGTGGGCCCCTGCAGGGAGTGCTGGTGTGCTCTGCCCTGTTGCCTGGTGTGGGAAACCTGGCTGATGAGGCTCCTTCCTCCCTCTTCCCACGACAAAGGTGTTTGGCTAGCGCACCGCCCCTTCCTACCTCTCCCCAGTGGGAGGAGGCTGGACCTTGGGTGTCTAGGGTGGACCCCTCTGAGACCAGGTGGAATGACAGAAGCGTCCTCCAGGTCACTGTGGGGGTGGGGAGGATATTTCCCTGCAATAGCCTCTCAGGGAGCCAGATGGGAGGCTCCAGAGATAGTGTAGGAAGCCCCCCAAGCTACCCCCCCGGGGCATGGTCTCTGAGGATGGTGTTTACTGTGGAGGACTGAGATTCTGTGTGCATTGTGGGGCGGGTCAGCGTTGTGTGTGTTTTAGGGGCATAGCTGGGCCTGGGTCAGGTGAGTGTTGAGAAGGGGGTTACTTGTGTGTATTGGGGGAAGGTCAGAGAGCTGAGTGTGTTTGGGGAGAACCAAATCTGAAGCTGTGGTGGGGGTGTGCAGGAGCTGCGGCAACTTAGCAGCGAGAGAGTTTAAGGGAGGGGCGTCCAGGGTTATGTTGTGTTTGGGGAGGGCAGGGTCTCTTTCTTATCTCTGGTCTGCGCTGGAGGGGACACCAACCTGCCTTTTTTGTTGTTTACCCTGGTAATTCCTTGGTCAGCATCTGGCTGGGGCTGGGCAGTGGGCAGCCGAGCTTGAGTTCTGGCTTTGCCACCTCCTTTGTGGAGCTGTGGGCAGAACCTTGGGCTGGGGGGGCAGAGGGCTGTGCTTTGGGGAAAGCATGAGATCTTGATCTTGCACAGGAGTTGGAGAGAAATGGGATGCTAACATGTGTGGAACACCTACTGTGTGCCGGGAATTTGATCTCTGTTTTACAAATCTTAATCCTCACAATCCTGGGGGAGGGACACTGTCCCCACTTACCCCGAGGGAACAGCTGGCAAAGGTTAAGTGACTGGCTTAAGTGACTGTAAAGCTAGGTTGTTTCCCACAGCCCTGGGAAGGTATTGGTGGGGACCCTCCTGAAAGTGGGGAGGCTTGGGGGGCGAGTACCAACGTTGAACCCCCCTATCTCCTGGTTGAGGCCTTGTTTCTGCCTGGGGAACCTCCCGCCTCCCTCCAGTAGGGGGCGTAGGGAAAGGCCCCCCCACCCCCAAGCCACACCCCCCCTTTTCTGTGAATGGGCTCCTGGAGGCTAGAGGCAGAGAGTGTTAGGGGAGGCGGGGGCCTGAGCTCCATCCTGTCCTGGAAGCTGCGGATGCAGTCTGTCCACACCCATCCCCATCCCCAAAACTGCCCACTGCAGCCTCCCCGGTTTGCAGAGCTCAGCGGACACCCTTCCCCCACCACCAGACAGCACTGTAGGAAGAGTATAAAAGCCACAGTTATTCTGATTTTGTTGCCATTTGTGGGGTGGAGGCAGGGGAGTTGGAATCAATCTTTAGAGAGGCTAGGGATGGAAGCTCCAGAAGGGCGACTCCAGAGTTTTCCTTTCTGTCCACATCCGCATGTCTGAGGTGTGGGCCCAGAGACTGGGGAATTGTCCTAGCGTCTGGGGGAGATGCAGTAGGGGCTACCTTTCTAACTCTCTCTGCATCTTCTCCCATTTGCCGGCTGTGTGTCCTCCCTCCCTCCTCTCTGCCCTCTTGTTCCCCAACAATAGTAGGGATAGCCCAGGGGGAGAGGGAACTGCTAGCAATGCCGTCCTGGGGCCCAGAATGCAGAGTCAGACAAGAGACTGTTAGATGAGGTTTTGAATAAAAGTGGGGCCCCTTACCTTTTATCTCCCAACACTGATAATGCACAGGCCCCCTTGGGCAGCATCCCAGCCTGGGCCCTCGCCGGGGAGGGGACTCAGGAAAGGAAGCCCATTGTCCCTGTTGGGCTGGCCCGGACCTGAGACACTGTGCCCTATGCCAAGGGATGTGTGCCCGTGGGGATGTGCCAGCACAGGCCCTGACTACCCTTTGGGGCTTAGCGTCTGTGGAAAGAGGAAGTGTTTCCTTCTCTAGATCACTTTGGGTCAGTGCCCACATCGCCTGTGCCTCCAGCCCTGGTGGAGTAGGGGCACAGAGAGTGCAGCTGGGTCTCCCAGGGTAGGCTGGAGGTCCTCAGTTCGGGCTACATCAGGAAAGGCCTTCCCCCTCCCCATTTTGACTCCTAAGTTGCCAGCAACCTCAGGCAGCCCACAGGCCAAGTCCCCCCACCCTCCACGGGCAGCTGTCTCAGAGGACAGCTCTTCATGTGCGGCCTTGGGCAGGTCACTCAACTTTTCTCTGAGTCTATCTCCTCCTGCTTAAAGCAAGACTCCTAATCCGTCCCTGGCTTGGCAGTAGCTGAGGCCACGGTGACCTGCTTGCTGGTGAGGGCCTGGGTGCACTTTAAGTACCCAGGAGTGTGGGTGGGGCCAGGCATTGTCTTGGGGGGTGGCCACCCTGTGCTGGGACCTGATGTCTGCCTGGCTCTGGGCCTCATGGTTTCCTGTTTGTTATCCCCTCCAGATGGGATTGGGGACAGGAGGGAGCCCTGTCTGGCACAAGGGGGGCAGTTCAGCCCACACCTACTGAAGGCCTGCTAAGCATAGGAGCCTGGAGGAGCTGCAGGGGATGCTGCAGAGAGGGTGTAGGCCTGCAGGCAGCTGCCACCTGAGGCTCATTGCCCCCCAGTGGCTGGCCAGAGCCTTTCTTTTTCCCCTGGACACCGTGTTCTGCAGTGACCTGTCCCTGACCTTGCTCT